TCACGTCTTAGTCATTTTGCTTACTTGTGTTAGTTCGTTTAGCAAACGCGTTATAAGTTGTCTCACAAATGTTTTATGAGTCGGTTTGCTAACATCTTGTAAGTCATTCTTTGAATGAGAACAAAATTTCCTTACAGCTGAGCGGTTACCACTAACATGCGGAACAATGGTTTTTCAGGCACTATTCTCATCATTTCTTACATTGATATTTTTGGAAAGACCACAGCATTTCAAATTTTGCTATTAGGTGATACTTGCTGTCCACTTCTTAAGTGTAAAAATCAATATTTACTCTAACTTTTTCAACGAAAGTAAAAATTCGTAAGTGAAATGACCTAACACGTGAGTGAAAACGACTTAAGATGTAAGTGAACAGGGTGCAGATGAAACAACCGTAAACCCCTAGATTAAAATTCGTTAGCCCAGGACGAGTATCATATGATCTACAATAGGGCAACAACAACAAACAAAAAAGCAAACAAGGAATTTTCAGTTTGAAGGTACATGTACTGCCATCTTAACAAAGCACAAGAAGTTGATCACAAAACTAATAAAGCAAACCATCTCAAGCACGCCTTTGTGGAAGCAGCTTGACTATTAAGACAATTTTCTTCCCAATTTTTTTTTTACAAGACTTTGTTATACTTTTCACGGAGTTCTCTCTTTTCAGCTTTGATGAGAAACTTAGTCAGATCCTCTGGTTGTCCTTCTCCAAACTGCTTTGCAAAAGAATAATCTAACAAATCAGCAAGCATCAATTTTGGAAAACTCTGAGCCAGTTTCTCATCTGAATCCTGTCTGAATAATCTTGGATTGATTTCAATGTTATTTGATAAAACAGGCGGAAAGACCTTGGCTGTATGCTGATCTAAGCTGTAGCCCTCAGGGAGATTATACTTGTGTAGGACAACACACTTGTCTGGAATAGTATGTAGCAAAAAGCTTGGCAGTTCCAGCAGCATTTTCAAGGCTGATCGCTGAGCCATTCGCAGCTCTTCCATGATAGACTTAACACGATTCTCAAGATCGAACGTTCGCATTACTAGCAGTCTAGAACATGGATGCATCAAATGTACTTTCTCCTCTAAGCCGTCATTCTGGACACGAATAACTCCTTTGAGATAATTTAACCCCCCTCTTTTTTGAGAATCTTCAGCGAGTACAAGAACCGGGGGAGATCTTTCCAAGAGCTTCCTTTTTTGTCGAGCTAATAACCCTGACGGCTTAAGGTACTCCAGCCTCTGAAGAACAAGTTCACTTCTCAGAAATAACAAGTGCGGTTGACGCTTTCGAACATGAACTGCATCTAGTTCTTCATACATAGTCCTCAGCGGTTCCAAACCAGATGGAGGCTCTTCGAGCTTCTCAAAGCACCTATATCTTCGAAACTTCATCTTTTTGATGATGACATCCAGATCGGATTTCGAAGAAGAATAACGCCTTTGGCTGAGACAGTGACCGTGATTACCAGAAAGTACCCNCTCAGGGAGATTATACTTGTGTAGGACAACACACTTGTCTGGAATAGTATGTAGCAAAAAGCTTGGCAGTTCCAGCAGCATTTTCAAGGCTGATCGCTGAGCCATTCGCAGCTCTTCCATGATAGACTTAACACGATTCTCAAGATCGAACGTTCGCATTACTAGCAGTCTAGAACATGGATGCATCAAATGTACTTTCTCCTCTAAGCCGTCATTCTGGACACGAATAACTCCTTTGAGATAATTTAACCCCCCTCTTTTTTGAGAATCTTCAGCGAGTACAAGAACCGGGGGAGATCTTTCCAAGAGCTTCCTTTTTTGTCGAGCTAATAACCCTGACGGCTTAAGGTACTCCAGCCTCTGAAGAACAAGTTCACTTCTCAGAAATAACAAGTGCGGTTGACGCTTTCGAACATGAACTGCATCTAGTTCTTCATACATAGTCCTCAGCGGTTCCAAACCAGATGGAGGCTCTTCGAGCTTCTCAAAGCACCTATATCTTCGAAACTTCATCTTTTTGATGATGACATCCAGATCGGATTTCGAAGAAGAATAACGCCTTTGGCTGAGACAGTGACCGTGATTACCAGAAAGTACCCGATGGGGGAACCATTTAGCCACTCCGGCAACATTAGTGAAGTGCTTCAGCATGCTCTGGTGAGGAAGAACGCTGAGTTCTTTTGCACAGCTCTGATGACTACTTCGGGCTTAATTAGAGCAACCCAATCTTTTAAATGGAAGAGAAAACGAAGAAAAAAAGTCCTTGATCGCATGCATGCATGCAAGATGGCCGCCGAACTAGAACCAGTCTCCCACTGATAAGCAAGCTTTTTCTTCATGTACTGACTACTCAAATGTCTCCAAATGACTACGAGTGATAAACGCTCACGGAATGTATTCACATTTTATTGGTTAGTTTAATAAAGCTCGCGTTAAAACCCGCTGAAACATCACCCAAAATTTTTATGGTAAACATTATGTTCATAAACCAGCTAGTCAGTTATCTTCTTCTCTTCTTCTCGTTCTTGGTTCTTTATATTTTGGCTGATTAGATCTCTTTTCTAAAGATCCAACGTTTACAACTAGCAGGATCTTCATCCGCGGTTTTTGCAGTTAATTTAATCCTTTATTATTCAGTTATCTTTGCTGTCAAAGAGGACATCATAATATTTTCTGTCACTCTTATTTTTCAGCATCCGGCTTGCGTCACGAGTCAATTTTGTGTAGCCTGGGTACAGCCACCCCCTCCTATCAGAAAAATCGGAGAAGGGTGGGGGAAAGGTAGGGCTGTACACAGGCTAGTTTTTGAGCGACTCACATCAACCGAAAGTGGACGTTAATTTTTGCAATTTTGGGGCGTGATTTTGACCAAATTTTCGGACAAATCGCCTATTTGAAAGAAAAGACATGTCTAGGGCATATACCTATTAAGCTATTCCTACGTGACATCCCGGGGGGGGGGTTCTCCATATATCCTTGGGTGGGGAGATGCGGCCCGGCCCCTCATACGTATACCCTGACCCTGTTTAAGACAAAAATCGCTGATTTTTCTACCCTGTTTAAGACAGAATTCCGATTTTTAATATCCTGTTTAAGACATTTAACCCGAACCCACACCCTGTGTAAGACAATAATAAATAAAAATTTTGCTGTAGTTTAGTTCGTAGAACATACGCGCAGGCTGTTTATCGTCCAAGAAAAGATAACCCTTTGAAAGCCAAAATTGATAAAATCGATACCCTGATTAAGAAAAAAAATGAGAGAATCGATACCCTGTTTAAGACAAAAATCCCCAAAAACATACCCTGGCTGGCCGCACGTCCCCATTAAGCTCTTATAAGGGAGTACCCCCCCCCCCCGGGTAACTTCTCAACCGCGCGTAACTTGAGGAAACAAGACCAAAGTGGTGCAAAGGACGTGGCAATCTCGACCCCAGACAGAATGTGTAAGCAGTGGAGTCGAAGATGGGGACGTGGTAACACCTGCACACCATTTTTAATACAGCCCTCGGATTTTATGGCTGCGAATGCACAATAAAGAAGAGCTATAGCAACAGCAGCAATAACAGCGGAAAAATTGATTTTGATGTAATATATGTTTGGGTCATGCTTCCCTATTTATGTTCGAGATCAGAGTTTCACCCTTTTTCTATCTCTTCACTTCCATAATTTACATTAAAGTGATTTCTCAGTGATAGACGTAGGGGTGCAGAGCTTTTCAAAATCTCTTAGGCTACGTGCAAACGGGCGCCTTATCTACCAACAATGTTGGGAGTTGTAAGCCAACAATGTTGCATCCGTTTGCACGGGGCTAAAAGTTTGACCGGTTTCAAACTTTGCGCAACAACACGCAACAACATCCAACAACATGCAACAAGGTGTGCAAACGGACGCAACATGTAACATCCAACAATAATGAGAGTTGTTGGTCAGCAATGTTGCGTCCGTTTGCACGCAGCCTCATAGAAAATTATCGAAGATATTGATGTCCCTCAATTCAAGAGAAGGAATTCCAAAAGTTTGCTTTGAAAAGGTTCTTAAATTTGACAGTCTGGTAGTTAAAAATGACCTTGGCTACTTGGCCTCTGACTGATGAATTGAAACATCACTTTTCTTTCTACTCTCAGTTTTTTGCTCAAGACAATAAGGCTGCATGCAAACAGACGCAACATTGGTGAGCAACAACTCCCAGCATTGTTGGATGTTACATGTTGCGTCCGTTTGCACACCCTGTTGCATGTTGTTGTTGAAACCGGTCAAAGTTTTCAGCCAACAACTCCCAACATTTCTTTTGTTCCGTGATCGCCGACGCGTAGCGCAACAATGTTGGATCCGTTTGCACAGCTCTTCCAACATTGATGGGGCCACGCACGCTCATTACGCATGGTTTAAAAAGAGTTATGGGTTGTATCCTTCCCACGATGCACTGCAGGTCCCAACATTGTTGGGAGTTGTTGCATCCGTTTGCACACCTCTGCCAACACGCACGCAACAACTCCCAACATTGTTGGCGCAACAATGTTGGAAGTTGTTGCATCCGTTTGCACGCAGCCTAAGCGAGCACGGATGAATTGCAGCATTTGCATGCCCCACAACCTGGTCCCCGGGCGCTTTTCCTTGGCTTTATAGGTGGGGCCACCTCCAAAGCCATGGAAAAGCGCCCTGGGGACCAGGTTGCATGCCCCAGCCAAAAGAAGAATAACAGTAGGAATGGCGCCGTATGCATTGTGGCGAAATGTCCGCCATCATGTGACCTGAAGCCAAGAAACTGTAAACACGCTGACGATGTCACCACTATTTTGATCACTGAAAGACATTTTTTTGCTTGTTTTGCACACGCCTGTTGGTTAACCTGCAGGGGCGTACCCAGGAATTGTTGTTGGCGCGGGAAATACTTCTTAGCGAGCAGAGGCGAACAGATCATAGGAGGGAAACCAAGAACAATTATATTTTTGAATATCCCTGGAATTTAGTTTAGTGGCAAATGCAACTCGCGTTTCATTAAAAAATCCGCCAGCTAAAAAACGATATACGATCCTGTCGATGTACGAATTTCAGTCTCAAACAAGCGTCAGGTCTTATTGGGGGGATCCGCACCCCGGACCCTCCCCCTGCATCTGCCGATGATGTATCCGGGTGGCTTATATCTCCATCATGAAATGCAGGTGATCAACTAATACAGGACTGCTAAGGATTGCATAGGTAATAACAAGTTTAAAAACCACACGAGTATATCTTTTGCAGTTTTGGCATACTGTTTGCTGATTTTGAGACACAGAAAATTAGGGGGGGTTTTGACATCGAATTCCAATCATGAATTGTGTTTTAATAAAGCAGGCCTTACTATTCCGCAGGAATTACGAACAATTTTTCTTGATTGAGTAGAATCCACTGATGTTTAAGCCCGCGAATACAGCCATCTGTTCTCGCTTCTCGCACAAGCGTCCCTAGCAGAGTGGAGCGAGAAAAACTGGCTGTATTCGGAGCTTACTGGTCTATATAATTATGTTGTCTCCCATCACAGGGGCGGATCTAGGGGGAGGGTGAAGGGGGTGCGCACCCCCCCTAAGACGACCTGCGGCTTTCTAATACAACCGGTATTCTGCAAAAAAACTATGTGGTTTATTGTTGTTGAAGTAAAACATGAGATGAGGTTGAAGAATTTATGTTAAACGCCGTAAAGATGATAGTTTGGCACCTCACGTCACCATTCAGTTACGCCATTCCCTAGTGGTTTACTCCCTCACAAGAAAAATCCTGGATCCGCCCCTGCGTCACTCTCATTTTTTCTTTTACTAAAGGGCAAGCCAGCTAGCGAGCAAGCTCTTCTGATGATGGGTACCAAAGCCGGCTTGTCTCATTTGCTGGCATCCACAAATAAAACATTTATCTATTCTCACGTGACATCTCGTGACCGTCCTCTGCCTCCTTGAGAAACCACGTCCGTTGCACCACGTTTAGTGATGTTCCATGCACGTGGTAGCTATAGCACAGAGCACGATTTTTAATGTTAGCAGCAGCAGCAGAAGCAATAAAGCAAGAAAATTGACATGCTTCCCCAATTAATTTAGTATTTTACCATTTTTACCCCTTCAGTTTAGTGATATACTTTCAGTTTACGTTGTTTGCTTATGGCACAGATCCTGTGGTGCACATCTGTTCAAAATCTCGTAGTATCTTAAATTTTAAATCTTAAATCTTAAATCTTAGTATTTCACCATTTTTTACCCCCTCATTTTAGTGATATACTTTCAGTTTACATTGTTTGCTCATGGCACAGATCCCGTGGTGCACATCTGTTCAAATAATAATAATAATAATAATAATAATAATAATAATAATAAATAATAATAATAATAATAATAGGCTTTATTTAAAGAGGGTAAAACACTTAACAGTAGTCCTAAGACACTGATGACTCTGTGGCCCTCAAAACAAATTATAAATATAGACTCTACAACTAAAAACTATAAAATATACTATTTTCAAAGATAATTTAGGATAAAAATATAATAGATAATTTCTAAAAAGACCAAATGACTAAGATATATAAAAACAACATAAAACGTATATACAATTACAGTCTAAGGAGCATTGCAGCCTTTTGTTCAGCTAGAAAGGATTTAAAAACGTTATGCTTAAAACTTGCTGGCGAGCCATTATTTCTTATATTGGTATTCATGCAATTCCAGTCCTTTATAGTCCTAATAGTGAAATTACGACCTCCTTCTGTTTTTCGTTTATACTTGGGGCACAGCAAATTTATGTTTGAATGTCTAGTGGCTCGATTATGAATTTCTGAATTTCTGACTAATAGACTATCAAATAAATAGGCGTAATATACTTGTGGACCCGCTTATACACTAGTGCGCATCTCTTTATTAGAGATTGTTTAGTAAAAGGGAGCCAGTTTAGATTATTGAATAATACGACTGATGGTGTAAGTCTTTCAGCATCGAGTATAATGCGTGCCGCCCTTTTTTGAAGTTTCAAAATACTTTGAAGATGTTCGACATTGCAGCTGTCCCATATATATCATGCTCCCATACAGGAGGGTGGGCTTTCTAACACCATTGTAATAGGTTTCCCTTTGATGTTGCTTAAGAAACGGGCTAATATGCTTCAAGAGTCCTATGCGTTTGGAAAGTTTCT